TGCTAATCTGAATTGTAGGTGGCCCATTGTTTAATTGCTCATGCACATTATTAATTGTGGTTTGCATCGTCAATCTGCACTTTGGTAGGAGCACTTAGGAGTTCCTGACTATTCTCTGGGCAACCTCCTATATTTTATAGTAGTTCAACTTAGCCTTTATTTGTGGCAAACCATGATTCTGTACTACACCTTGGAATCTTTTTTAGCTGATTTATTATGCAAAGTACAGTAGTAACTTTGTTTGGATCTGAACTTATATCACTCTAAGAACTTCTACATAGAATGATTTATCATCACTAGAATATTTATACCCCGTTGTAATGCACGGGCATGTTTTCTTGCAAAATTTATTTTAAATGTTTTTTGCTGGTTGATTATGTTTGGAGTTCCTTTCTTTGTTATTATCTTCATTGCATTGGCAGTTTCTTTTATCCGGTACCATTTTTGTGGTTATATATGCTTTACTTATTCACTTAGAATATCAATGTCTTATCGGTGAATCGGTTCACTTGCACAAGGATCTTGCCAAAACATCAAGTTTCCCGAACATAAAAATTATGTCATTTCGGTGGAACAAAGAATTAATCTCTAGCACGGTGAAACAAATAATTTATCTCTAGCACTAAAATTATGTTTCTTACTAACAAGAATGTACCACTGCAGTATTTTTATTGTGTTACGACTAATCGTTGGGTTGCTCCATTAGCAAGAAGTCAATTTGTCAGTGGAAACATAGCTGCAAGGATGCGATATTTTAACTTTGACGTTACTTAAGCTTTTGGATTTCAGATTTAATTGCCATCATGAAACTGGTATGCAATGGAGCTGCACTTGCACGCACATGCTGATTTCTAAATATCGCACAGTACTATAGTTGTGATCCTCTAAATAGCTTATTTTTTAGCACAGTCTTGCGGAATAGTTACAGTGAACAAAAAGCTTGCATTTGATTGATTTGATTTGTTAGTTTTTTGAATGGCGCTGCCCCTATTAGGCTAAGTAGAAGCACTATACCGGGACTAAAGTACATCAGGTTACCTTTCATGAGGTCTGTGGAATTTTTGTAATTTGTGGTATTGGTATTTTTGGAATTATTCTGGGTACAAGGAAAGAAGTGACAGAGAACTGCAATTTTTTTGTGGTAAAATTTACTGAAATTGGTGTTTCTTTTCAAGATTATATTACTGTTTGCCCATTTGATCCTTGGATGATCTACTAATTTTCTTTTCTATTACTTGCGGATAATTTGCTTCAGTTCATCAAATTACCTGGGGAAATATGCTCATTGTTTATCTAAAGATATATTGGGCATCAGTCCACCTGTCATGAGGTCTCTAAACTTTTTAGGCATGTTTATTTTCTGAATAATTTATTGGAGATACTATGCTTGGACTCACAAATGCACGTAGTGCTTCCACTAGAGGGATGTTCTTCATTTTTTCTGTGTTATTCCTCTTTCAAGTTTTTGGTCCTTGAAAAGTAATAGTACTTGCTAGGTTTCTAGCTTTACTTTTTTTGTAGTACAAGCTAAATGTATATGCCTGAATTTACATATCAGAGTGTTTGAGTTGATTAAGGGTATGAGAGAGAACAATTTTCATTCTCAAACAACACCCGACATCATTAATTTTCTTATTTACCAATTGAAACACGAGGCAATAATAGCACAACTTAAGTGTGTGAACATATCAATATAAAATGATTGGCCGGATTATGTTTTTTATGCATTCTAGAAGTGGCATTTCCGTGAAATTACAAACTAGCTTTACATTTTTCTCGGAACATTTTGTGAAATTTTATTGGAGAATATTTTTCTCCTTTTCCATCGTTCGTTGCCCATTCGTCCCATTCTGCTCCTGTTTGTCATGAGTAATGTGATAATAGAGGACGTAAACTTGTGTGGGCTTTTGGCCATGGGGCTATTGGGCTAGAGGCATGTGATATATTTTTCTCCCGTTGCAACGCACGGGCCCTTTTGCTAGTAATATCTAAATAGTTCATCCCCACTAACCTATTTCTCTTGACATGCAGCCTATCCACATCACTAATCAACATGCAACCAATCACCTCACTCCACCTCAGCAGTATAGCTACATCAGCAATTCCAAATACTATTTTTATTTTTCCTGTGATTTAATTTCTCCTTCGTCCGCTCCCTCTTCCATCTTCTGTAACAGCCCAGATAGTTGAAGAGACATTCATCATCTGTCAATAAAGACCCAGCAGATGGGAAACGGTGGAGTCCCATCTCTACGTCGTCTCTTCACATCTCTCTCCAGTACACCTCTTCCCATCATTTGTCTCTTCCCATCTCCCTCCATGGAAATCTAGCACCGCTAGGCTTCCGCCAGGAAGAGGAGTAGCCCCTCCAGGCGACAAACTCTCTGTAGTCCTGATCGGGAATCCCCTGCCGCAACTCCTCCTCGCTATCTTACTGGATGGAGTTCGAGGCTGCGAGGGTCAACTCGCCGCCGCCAATCGTGCACCGCAGCTGCGAGTCTATGTTGCCCCACCCGGTGTCCGACGACCCAACCCCAACATCCTCCCCTAGGTGTAGCATCTCCGGCGTCTGACATTTCCGGCAGCCCGGCTAAGCTAAGTTTCTCCGGCCTCATACAGTACCAAGAGAAACGCTGATCTACTCCTCTCCTCATGGGATTTTCAGGAACAATTACGAGTTTGCCATCGCAGTGCAGGAACGGACTGACCCAAATCCATGTCAAAGTCATTACATCCACACCCATGCATGGCCAGTTATAGAAAATCTCAGTTTCAAGTAAGTAGGGAACCTCTTATGCATGCACGCCTGCAGCATCACGGCTATATATGATTAGTTGTTTCTTTTGTAGATTCATAAGTTCTCTCAGTTATGAAGTGAGGTAGGTAGACTTTCCGCAGATTGCATGTTTGATCTGAATTACCAAAGGTAAGGTGCTCTTATTATGTTGAATCATTTGTACGAATTTGGTTAGATCGATGGATTCGGTACCAACCTCTAATTTTTTGGCAATGCTGATAAGTGATCCTCATGATCCATCTACTCATGTTGTTTGGTTATTGTACTAATTATCGTGTTCTTTTGGATCTGTGTGCGTGGGTCCAGGTTGATCCCCCCCCCCCCCAACCCCCACCCACGAAGGTATGGTAAATC